AGGTTGCTGCTGGATCATCGCGTTGAAATGGCTTACGCAGTGTGCCCGTATTACACTCCATGTATTTCATGGAATGTTGTAGTACCGCAGACGCCACCTCCTCAAGTGTATTATTACTACGTTCCGTCTGCGTGGACTTGCGTGGCGTGTTCCTTGCCGACGTGCTGCTGCGTGGGCTGTTGTTGCTGCTGTCGCTGCATCAGCAGCAAAACGGCTGTGACGGCGCCTGCTGCTCCTCCCCAGTCGGCAGAGGTACCTGCAACTGTTGCTTTCCCGCCTCGCTCCGGCACCGTCCAGCTAGAAGGTCAGGTGCAGATACAGTCGAAGTCTCCCGAGCCCACGAGACGAGAAGAAACGAGCAGAAAGAGAGATGTGGGGGAAACTGAACAGGGCTGGAGGAGGGTTAGCAGCCTCCCGCGCATGCGTGCTGAGAAAGCTGAGAAAGCAGCCAGTGAAGCATCTTATAGCAGCTACGGTTCTAGGACTCAGCAGCGGGCAGAGAGGAGAGGGCGCAGGCGTCCCAGCCCCGAAGGCCGTGGTCGCTGCGAAGGAACATTGATTATAAAGGGGTTGCCAACGCTGGAGAGAAGAGAAGAAAGGAGAAGACCATCGGAGAGCCGAGAGAGAGAGTGCCTGCTCAGGGGGACGCTCACATTCAACACCCAGTAACCCAGCTCCCCCCGAAGCATAGCCCCGTTGATAGGATGCTTCTGCTGCATTTGCTGATGTTGCTGCTCCTGCTCTTGCTGCTGCTGTTGATGCAGCAGCTTTCGCAGCGAGGACTTGTGCTGGAGCTCTGCGTCCCTGTGATACTGAGAGGGGATGCTTCTGGGGCTTTCAATTCTCTCCACTTCTTTACACCGGGCGATGGTTTTGTAGCTGCTGGTAATAGTCATCATCAGTAGCAGCAGCATCAGCGGCAGCACGGGGAGCCTGCTGTGCAATAGAAACATACGCCGAGGCCAGGATGACCCGGAGTCAACCCTTTCTTCTGTCGCTGTGACGCGGCATCCAGCAATAGCATTGCAGGTAGTTGAGGGAATTTCATATTTCTCATTTTCACCTGTTGCTACAGTAATGATGGTGTGTGTCATGGGGACTCCCCTCTNGGAATTTCATATTTCTCATTTTCACCTGTTGCTACAGTAATGATGGTGTGTGTCATGGGGACTCCCCTCTTCTTGTTTCACAGTTTCTTGTTTCGGTTTCCTCGCGTGCTGCACTATCTGCGCCCGAACGCCACTGTGCTTGGACGTAAGGATGGATGCCGTATCACGCACCGTTCTGCTTACGGTTCTGATGGTGGCTTGCTGCAGCACCAACGGCAGCAGCAGCAGCAAACACGCTGCTCTGTTGATTGGTGCTTCAGTGCTTGAGAGCGTGCGGGCGGTGTTTTGGCGGTGTGCACTGTGAGGGGTAGAGAATCTGGGGTCCAGGCCGCTAGCTAGCTAGCTCTCGGCCTGGCTGTCTAGCTAGCTGGCTAGCGACTAGCAGTCCCTGATGATGCTTCAGGTGTCATTGATATTATATGTGGAATTCTTCTGTATTAACTTGAAACAAACGTATATAGATGCGCAAAGTGGCATGGAAACCAAAAGTCAGCTCTCTGTAACAATGCAGTGTAGTGCAGCCGGTGACACTCCGAGGCACCATGCAAGCAGGGGCAGGCATATATAGTGGAACAGAAAGCGGCTGATAGATGCTGACACGGTATAGTGAGATAGGTAGAGCAGGACAGGGACAAACTCACAGTCAGCGGCTTAGATGAGGAGTAACGAGAACGTCAAGCAGCACACAAGGAAAAACAGACAAGTAGATGTGAACGCTTACGGGGAAACAAGAGGGAAGAGAGAAACTCTAGNTCAAGCATATACTGGAGAGGAACAGGGGGAGAGAGCGGGCAGATGGATCAATAGAAAGGGAGACAGAGGAGAGTAGATACAAGATAATAGACGGAGATTGATAGAAAGCAAGAAATAGAGAGAGAAGGGTAGAGAGAGGAGAGTAGATGGAGGAGGACAGGTTAGTAGTAGTGAGCCAGACGCGATCAGCAATATAAGGAACATATTGAGGCAAACAAATACAGGGATATTGACCCCAACCAGAAGTGCAGGAGGAGGCCCTGGTACAACTACTTTGTGGGTGTATTACCAGACAATGGCGGATTACTACTGACCCGCTTCTTCAATGTTTCTTCACTATTTGCAATTGGGGTTGGAGCTGTTGACTCACCTCTTGAATTTCGCCTGCATGGCTCTTCCATGTTCTGTCTATGCCCATTGCCAGTTCTGGCTAGTGGCATGGTGCATCACTAGTGTGATGCTCGTATTCCGGAGTTGTATTAACTTGTATACTATTCTTTGCGGCATCTGTTAGCCTCGCCTCCTCCAGGATGAAGGGGTGATTGAGACACGGGCACAGAAGGCGGCTACTGTTGTCTGCTTTGATTGTTACTTTAAGGGGGAAACGGGAGACAAGGAGTCATAGACAATAACCTCAGTGAAGAAAGCGACAGTGAAACGAAGAGCATAACGAACGGGCAGGGAAGTGGCAGGCTCCCAGCATGGGAGAGGAGCGCACACTGCTGAATAGGCGAGTGTGCACATGCAGAAGTGTAAGGTATCTGTAAATAGAGGTTGACACACTGTATCCTAATAATAAAGCATTATTGTTATTAGGGCCGAGCAGTCTGATGCAACATGAAATGCTGAACACAAATGAAGCAACAGTTTGGGGCTGCACGGGTCTTAGACAGAGAGCAGTTGAAAAAGAAGAATGATCAGGACGCGGAAAGCGAGAAAGTTACATTTGGCANGTCTTAGACAGAGAGCAGTTGAAAAAGAAGAATGATCAGGACGCGGAAAGCGAGAAAGTTACATTTGGCACTGACACAGCGAGAAGGAAACGGCCAGAGGGGATCAGACGGAGAGGGGAGAAACCACCGAACGCGTATGCAACGAGTTTAATGCCGCATTTGGCGGTCGGTGGAGTAAAGGAAATACCAACGAGAACTGCTGCAATTTTTCATTGTTAAAATTTGCCGGTGGCCTCATTTTCCGTTAGAAGATCAAAATTTCCACATCTTTGCATTTGCAAATGGCGCAATGATTATTTTGGTCGTAGTTATGCTGGGAAAATGTTTTCGTTGACAAGTTCCATTCATATTTAAATATATAGGAATAGATGCAGCTTTTGGCCGCCGTTCGCTGCGCCATCGCAGTGGGCTAAAATCTATGAAAAAACCTCACGACAGGTAGACTGGCACCGCTCCGCGCTGCAAGTTATACGAATGGAGTGTGCCCTATTGGCACTACTAGTACTGTATTCCTATTATCTTCCTTAGTTCTGTAAAAAAGGAGTATAAGGTGTAGTCGAGCAGGAGTTACCTTAGGCAGCAAACGGATCACATAGAAGACGGACCAGCTACTGCCGCAGCTTCGGCTCAATCTGCAGCGATCCAGGGGACGTCAGCACGAGATATACGTGAAACAAAAATGCTGGAAACGTTTTAAGCTACAATTAAGAAATTTAATTGAAAGGCAGTTGACTTGCCGTTACTATTTCGACACAGCCGGAGAACAATTCAGAGTGACCCTGGAGCGGGGGGGGTGTGCCGATCTGGGTACAAATCAACCAAACACAGAGAGAGCGTCAAGCGCAATGTATGTTATTTTGTTTATTTTCTAGAGTGATATGGATATGAAGTTCAATATATACACGAAGGCGATTGTCTATTGCTGCTCAGCGGCAGACACGCACCAGCAGTGGTCCGTTGAAACGTACCGGTGCTCGGTGGGGCTGCGGGCTCCGTGGCATTCCTTCGCTGCCTCCATATCTCCCGAATAGAGCTTCTTGGTGTTGATATTTTTATGACTTGTGCAATAGGAGTTGCACTATTTCATGAAATGCAGGGAGTTATGCAGAGGTAGTGCCGGGCCACCCTCCCCGACACATCACCATCCTCTGTACGGCGTCTCGCAGTGACGAGAGTGGCGTGGGCGCAAATACTTTTTCTGAAATTTCCCCTCCTTCTTTCCACTTCAGCTGCTTATTGCATTGATGTTTGGCATTTTCAGCTTCAACGATTTGGTAACTTC